TTATTATTATTATTATTATTATTATTATTATTATTATTTGTGTATATAGGTTGGAGAGGAGAAGACAAAGAGTCTAAACCCCAATGAATGTCTGAAACTATATACTGGGACAGCCAACATGATTCAATGGTTTGAATATTGGACTACAACTCTGGGGGACCAGGGTTCAAACCCCTGCTCAGCCATGGAAACCCACTGGGAGGTCTTGGCCAAGTCACACATTCTCATTTAAAGGAAGGCATAGGAAAATCAATGCTTTGATGCTTTGATTTTGATATGTGTTGATTTTGAGTTCCTGCATGGCAAGGGGTTGGACTGGATGGCCCTTGTGGTCTCTTCCAACTCTTTGATTCTATGATTCTAACCCTCTTAGAACAAATCTGGCCAAGAAAAGCCTGTGATACATTCTCCTTAAGGTTGCCATAAGTCAGAAACTACCTGAAGGTACACAACAACAACAACAATCCAAGAATGTGTAGGTGGATGGCTGGAATCCTTTTGGTTAGTCTCAACTAGACTAAGCCCACCAAAACAATTTTTAATGGTAAGACAACGTACAGGCAAAGTTAATTTAATGGCTCTTTTCTAGTTGGGAATAGCAATAGGTTTTTAGCCCTTGTGAAGTGATCACACTTGTGGAATCATGGAATTATAGAGTTGGATGAGACCCAAGGACCATCCAAGTCCAACCCCATTTTGCCATGCAGGAGGACACAATCCAAGCACTCCTGACAGATGGCCATCCAGCCTTTGTTCCTTCTCCAAAGAAGGAGAATCCATCACTCTCCAAAGCAGTGCATTCCACTGTTGAACAGCTCTTACTATCAGGAAGTTCTTCTTAATGTTTAGGTGGCATTTCTTTTTCTATAGTTTGAATCTATTGCTCCATTGTCTAATTTGGAGCTGTAGGAAACAAGCTAGGTCCATCTTCAATATGGCATCCCTTCAAATATTTAAACATAGTTATCATGTCTCCACTTGACCTTCTGTTCTTCAGGCTAAATATACCCAGCTCCCTAAGCTGCTCCTCTCAGGGCATGGTTAGACATTTCACCATTATTGGTCACCCTCCTCTGGGCATGCTCCAACTTGTCAACATCCCTCTTGAATTGTGGAGCCCAGAAGTGGACACAATGTTCCGGGTGAGATCTGTCCAAAGCAGAATAGAGTGGCACTACTGCTTCCCTCAGTCTAGACACTACATTACTTTTGTTGCAGCCTACAATCAGATTGGCTTTTTAGCTGCCCCATCACATTGCTGGCTCATGGTCAGCCTGTGGTCTACTAAGATGCCCAGATCCCTTTCACAAGGACTATTGTCAAGTCAGGTGTCCCCCATCCAACATCTGTGCCTTTCATAGTCCTGTCTTCTGGGGTATTGGCTTCTCCTCCCAATTTCCTAACATTCATCAATGCAGATCTAACGGTGACTCCTCTGTTTGCTCCTTATCGGATCTTTCAAAATTGTCTGGGTCTCTTTGGCATTGATGAAACCATCCTTTGCGTGGCTGCTGCATGAGGTCCCCAACAATGGAAAGTTTGACAGTGATTATGCTTGAGGGAAACCACGTCCCTCATTTCTCCAAATAGGTAGCTCTTTGGGAGCTTCCCAGCTTTGTGGCTCTGTGGGAGAAACAGCCTTACCATAAAAGGAGACTGAAGCTGTGCGAAGTGACACAGTGATGCTGGGATACTCAGATGGTCGCTGGCAGGGAAGCGGAAATTTATTTAAAGAGTTTTATTTCTCATGATGACGCAGCATTGCAGATTGTGCTGGAGAAGTCAAATGTAGGGAGGGCCTTTTTTGGTTTCTCCCCCCTGCCTCCAGCAGATGGATTTCATAACAGCATCATGGACTCACACTTTGCTTGTTCACAGTGGGCTGAATGTGTGTACTGTATGACTAGCAAAGGGTTGGACAGCTGCTGATTTAGCAAGAGAAAAAGGGAAGCTACAGATCCCACTCCCTGAAATAATGATAGAATCAGAGATGAAAGGGACCCCAAGAGCTCAGATTTGCACAAGAAATCTACCACTAAAGTATCTGATGAAATGGACAAGAGAAGAGAAGGTTGAGAGGTGATATGATAGCCGTGTTTAAATATTTGAAGGGATGTCATATTGAGGAGGGAACAAGCTTATTTTCTGCTGCTCCAGAGACTAGGAACCGAAACAATGGATGTAAGCTCCAGGAAAAGAGATTCCACCTCAACATTAGGGGAAACTTCCTGACAGTAATGGCAGTTTGACAGTGGAACACACTCCTTCCTCGAAGAGTAGTGGAGTCTCCTTCCTTGGAGGTCTTTAAGCAGAGGCTGGATGGCCATCTGTCGGGGATACTTTTATTGGGAGTTCCTGCATGGCAGGGGGTTGGACTGGATGGCCCTTGTAGTCTCTTCCAACTCTATGATTCTATGATTCTATGGTTCTATGACATCCAACCTTTGTTTAGAAACTTCAAGTGAAGGAGAGTCTATCTCCTTCTGAGGGATCCTACTGCACTCTCCAATAGCTCTTACTTCTAGGAAACACTTCCTAATAACACCCAACTCCATTGTTACAACAGCTACACTGGCTGCTGCTCTATTTCTGGGCACAATTCAAAAGCTGTTTATGACATCTAATGCTCTACGCACCTCAGATCCAAATTATTTGAAGGACTGTATTCTGCTTTATGAACCAGCCAGTGTTCTGAGATCTTCTCTCTCTCCTACCATCATCACAGATACATCTGGTTGGTACATGGGACAGGGCCTTCTTGGTAGCTGCTCCCAGGCTCTGGAACTCCCTTCTTAGAACAGTTAGATTGGCACCCTCTCTTCTTTCTTTTTGCAAACAAGCAAAGACTTTTCCCATGGACAGCCAAAAGGACAAACAAGTGGGTCCTAGAGCAGATTAAACTGGAAACCTCCCTGGAAGCCAAGATGACCAAACTGAGACTGTCATACTTTGGACAAGGGAGGACTCATTGAAAAAGACAATAATGCTAGGAAAAGTGGAGGGAAGTAGGAAGAGAGGAA